AGTTGTCTCATTGGCACTCATACCACATCTTCTTATATCTATAATCAAATATACCTAACTTCACCCTATCTTCTGTTTATTATCTCAGATATCCAAATTATTACAATGAAAGTAAAATAATTTCCCCCTGTTTGGTTTTGAACAGATATTAGTCAAAACTGATAAATGTATCATTTGTGCAGTACAGTGAGATATTCGGGGGAGGAGAAAAGGGGAGGGGGGGGGGGTGTTACTGGGTAGTGTCGTCATACATATGTCGATCGTTGATATAGACAAAACATCTATCATATCAAAATCATGATAGAGATATGCACGATCAGAACACACGAATTTTACAGAAAACAGAGAATAGAGAATAATGGCCAATAGAATTACAGGATACGGAAAAATAGAACACCCTCCCCCTTTTCAAGACCCTCATATATCATTGTGACGGATAGTTTTGTTTGTTCTATTAAACTGTTTTTATTTTTTAAGAGAATATTTGTACAAGGTGTTGTTAATAAATGTAATGGACAATATATGCCATGCCTTCTCACACGACGTCGTACTTTCATTTTTTCTCTTCCTGTGCAATATGATATTAAACTCATTATGCAGAGCAATTTTTATGACTACTTGCATAATTGTTAAATCGTATTTAATTCTGTATCAAATTTATATTAATATTAAAAGTTACATTTCTTGAATATTGAAAACGGATTAAAATTATTTATCCTGCAATCAGCCAACTATTGTACAAATAACAGGTACACAAATAATTTTTTGCTTTATTTGTACTTGTACAAATAAAGTCTCCTGTTACCCCTCTTCCATGTTGAGCAAGCGGTAATGTTGATATTTCTTTTTGCATACCAGTTCATTTTGGGTTCCTCTTCGCGGTCCGTTTTTAAACTATGTCGATTTCTTTGAAAAATTAGAGACAATGATTTAGATTTTAACAACTAAAGTTTCAAGTGTTGAGTGTAAATTTCAGGATAAAAACAATATATACATGTACATTGTCCGAAAATATGAAATTTAAAATTATTAAAATTATTTACTGGCTTTCAATATCCGGTTTGTTTGTTTTTTTGTTTGTTTGTTTTTTTGTTATGTTTTGTTTTTTTGTTTGTTTGTAGATCTAAGAAAAAAGCAGCTCTGTTTCACTTTGATAAACAATTGACTTAAAAGTAAGAATTGTCACATGGTATCTTCTTATGTCGTCTGAATACATAATGTATGTTATTGATCAGTAATAACTATTTTAAATGTTTATTTGGCATGCCATACTCGGTAGAAGTGCGGACGTGAAAGAAAGCACTCTTCGCGTAAACGTCAACGAGGATTACATTTAATCTTTATAAAAAATTAAATATAGATAAATAAAGAAATATAAAAAGTAATATATATTTATAAGAAGCTACGGGTAAATAACTCAAATATTTCAAGATCTTTCTCTTATAAATTCAAACTTTATATCCTGTGACTTTTTGTCAGGACTGTGGTAACAGATGCTTACAAAATTTTACTTTTCATTACGGTCTTGTCATTGTATCTATCATCTTTTTATGTTTTACATTATTGCTAAAGAGATCAAACTGCGTTTTAGCGAAGTTTGGAACTCTTTTTAGTTTCCAAACATCTATTTTACCGCTTACATCACTGGAAAAAAAATTCTCAGTTGAGAAAAAAAATTCTCAGCTGAGAATATTCTCAACGTTGAGGAAATTTTTTATGGCGGATAAAAAAGTGCTCATTCTTAGCTGAGTAAAATAATTCATTCTGAGAATATGTTTTTACTCAGAAAAAAAATGTTTTATGGCACCGGGGCCAGTATAATTTTTTACTAAAAGAGTTATCTCCCCTTAAATGGCTTATTTGAAAAATTAATTCTAAAAGCACAAATATTTGGTATTTGTTAAAACATTTTCAATAATGCAATGAATAACTAAGTTTTTTTATTTAAATAAACACTGTAACCTATACATTGAAAATCTGTCTTCAAACTTGCAGATTTGGACAGAGAAGTAGACCGATTATTTACTGAGATTGTACAATTCAAGATGGCGGTATACCCCAGAACTACCTTAAATGAGGAAAAATTATCAGAAAGACAAGATCTACAAATTCAAAACATAGTCGAAATAATCAGATCTTTCCTCATTGGAGTTATTGCCATTTAGTGGTGCTTTTTGTCAATTTTTTGCGCTCTTGTCTAGTATCTAAAAACTATAATAGATAGATAGAAACTTAAATAAGCATAAATGATCAGTTAGGCGAGATCTACAAAAAACATCATTGTTGAAATCGTCTGACAATTCCTTATTGGAGTTTTGCCCTGTTATGACTTTTTTTACCAATTTATTTGCGTTTTAATTGGCTTAATATCTGAAAAATTATAATAGATAGATAGAAATTTCAATAAGCAAAACTTATCAGACAGTAAAGATCTACAAATAAGTCAACAGGGTTGAAATCATCTTACGACCCTTTATTGAAGTTATTACCCTTTAATGACAATTTTCACCATTTTTTTTGCGTTTTTACCAAACACCTTAAAAACTATGATAGATAGATAGAAACTTAAATAAGCAAAAATGATCAGCAATCCAAAATCTACAAAAATTTCTACTGGCCAAAATCTTAAGTTCACATCTTATTGGAGTTATTGCTCTGTTATGACAATTTTTACCCATTTTTAGTGTTCTGTCTCATCTTGAAAACTATAATGCTTTAAAAAGCAAAAAATGAACAGCAAGACTAGATCTACAAATAAGTAAACATAGCCGAAATTGTTTGTCGACTCCTTATTGGAGTTCTTGCTCTCTACTGGCGATTTTTACAAATATTTTACGTTTTCGCCTATTATCTTGAAAGCTATAAAAGATAGATAGACACTCAAAATAGTCTAAAAATTATCAGCAAGACAAGATCTACAAATAAGTCAAGTTTTGACGAAATTTTAGTAGACTCTTTGTAGTAGTAATTGCTCTTAAATGACAATTTGTATACCTTTTTTTGTGGTTTTGGCAAGAGAAAAAAGACAGAGAGAAACTGTATGCAGATAAAAATTATCAGCAATATAAGATTAACAAAAGAGATTTTTGTCATGAATTCTATTCTAGTCCATATTGTTGAATATGCATATAGACCTAGGTGAGCGACAATTTATATTTGTTTTTAGAAAAAATATCTATTGCACTTACTATTGCGTCGAATTTGATATAGTTTTCCGCATTCTATTTGCATTACATGTATATTCAAAATTTAATGGGCATGTAGCTTACAAATTTTTATTCAATAATATTTAAACAAAATATAACAGTTAAGCGATTTTTTTTACCTGGGACTATTATACTATGTTCTATCCCAGCTTTTACAACGGAGTTCTAAAATGCATAAACCAGCACAGTTGAATACCCACCAAGTGTGTGCGAGCTCGACTCAAATGCGAAGATAGAATTAAAAAAAAAATGTAAAACCTGGTATTTGTTATTTCTCTGAATGGCTTCTTCCGAAACTCAAAGTCAAATGTTTGGCAAGCTTAAAAAGCATAAACCACTATAAGTAACGAAGCAAAAATGGGATAAAAAAGAAATTAAACCTTCTGATGAATTTTACACGAATTTATCGAATTGTATGTAAGTAATAAACGATGATCAAACCTACGCAATGTATATCTAATTTATTTTTCAAAACTATTCAATGTGCTACATTAAATTTTCTTAAATTTAAATCCCGTTAATATTAGTAAATTGGCAACACTGGTATTTGCAAACTTATACAAAGAATTCTCCATAAACAACAAAGGCGGGGATTTTATTTCCTTTTTCAGAAAGTCTAGATTTTCAATACTAGTGTCGATTGCATACCCACGTTAACTTACCAATTTGAAGCAATCAAAACATTGGTTTGATCAATAGTCGGGCGAGGATTTCTGTTGTGCCTTTTAAACATACATTACCATTTGATTTATTTTTATTATCTATATTTGCATACTTCAATGCATCTTAACGTGCATAGCTAGTGAATTGTAAATTCATACGATAGTTAATAAATATGATGGATTTTAAATACATTACGATATGCTTTACTATATATTTAATAGTTTTTAAATATACGTGATAAATGTCCTTTTTCCATAGATTGGAAAAACCGGGAAATCATATGTTGTTTTCACTTTCATTACCGTAATTGAAGTTCTTAAAAATTCCAGGTTTTTCACAAATTTCATAGTGGTAGCTCCATTTGTGGTACGGGACAATTTAGCGGAAAAGGACTAACAAAATTGCAAAGCAAATTTGCACCCAATCTTCTCTTCCGCCCATCCATAAAACACTATATGAATAAACTTTCTAAAATTTATTGCATTCTAGTAAATCGAATGGAAAAGGATGGAGAGTACCAAATAAGAAAAATAAAACAGAAGTACCTTGGTAGAAAGTAAACAACATCATCTGTTGAATTTTATACCATGACTCGCTTCTGTTGTTTTTCGGTATTTTTATCACTGTCCAAAAGTTCTAAGTTCTTGTTAATGTTGACATTTTACAAGAGCAGTATGCATAAATCAAAGGATTCATTCCAATAAAACAATAGTAAAAAATACACTGTTATAATGATTCTGAAAAAATCAAAAAAATACTGTATACTTAGTACATGATGTCCCATAGGACTTTAATTGGATTAATAAGAACATTTTGATTACATGCAGTCGGTAACGTGCTGAAATAGGAAATTGTTCGGATACAATTATAATTAAAACAATTACGAAAATAAGTATTTAGAATGTTCAGTAATTATAGTGTACTTTATTTAAAATGTAATCAATATGTAATGTCTTCAACCGTTGTCTTACTCAATAATTATACATGTACCGTTCCATTTAAGGCCAACTTTATTATTATCTCAGTTTTATTATCATACTATTTGATCTCCCCTGTCAAAACTACCTCATTAAATGTCAAAATTTTCTTTTTGATAAGAAAAACTCGAGTGTAATTTAAAAATTTTGTTTAAACTCAATTGCTACAGCACTCCTAAACAGGTAACATGAAGTATTTAAATCAGGATAAATTGTACGGTTAGTTGATCGATTCATCTGTGGCCGCTTTCTGGAATTTACAGAATCTACTTTCATTTTCAGGAATGAAATGAACTTCTTTGGTTTTAAGGATTAAAATAGCAAGGTAGGTTTGTTGTTTATTCATACCAGTGGCGTTAATAAGAAACATTGTACATTTTTGTGCATTCTTCACTCATTAAACTGCGATGCAAACTGTTACATAAGAATATAAAATTTGATTGGAATTTAACAATTGAGTTTGTCCAATATAAAGTTATAAGTAAGTCTTTAAAAAAGGTTGATATGTCATATTAAGTCCGATTCTATATCTTCCTCACAATTATGGTAATTCTTCCAATAACTGAAAAAAATAAGGATAGGACAAAAGTCTTCATTTCTTATGCATTTTTAAAAGATTTTGGAATTGTAACAAGAAATACAAAACTGGACATTAACGTTTTCAGTCTACGGTATTCCATTTTACTATATGAACGATACTGACGTGTATGTCTTTAGTGTCATATTCTAGACGGCAAGAAATGTTTGTTTTCAAAAACAACATAATCGTACACCTTTTCGAATTTCATTTGTAAAGCTATGGGAAGTCGACTTAATTGGTGAAGGGAAAGTTTTTCAATCGAAAAGTTGATAGATATAAGAAGATGTCTTTTTTTTCTCCTGTAAAAATATCTTACAATTAAATAATTTATACATGCATATTTATACTACAATTGTACTATTATAGTTATAGTACAAATGTATCTGATAATATTAGCTCAGATTCTAGACATATTCTGAGCTTCAACAGAAATGACCAAGTACAAATGTACTTACTAGTATGCTAATTCCGAATAGACAAAGGCATAAATAAAAAGCGACAATTCAGTACTGTAGAGACAGAAACATTTTTTTGTTTTTTGTTTTGTAAATGCTGATCATGAACTCTATGTAGTAAGCATTTATTTGAATGTAATTTCAATCTACTTCGTGTAACCTTTGTTTGAAATTCCGACAATATTGTTATGTCAATGCTACAATGTAATACGAACTCAACTTTTCAAATTAGTTTCATGTTCAATATATAATTGTTACATACCTTTAAAAAGAAGCTATTTCTATTTTTAAGCGTTCAAAATTAAATTATCTTTTAAGTAGTGGGCGATTTTAACAAGCGTTCGATTTCTACTTCAGATTATTCACAACACGGAAGGTCCATGTTCGCTAGCATGGAAGGGCCCATCATTGCTAGCATGGAAGGGCCCATCTTCAGTAGCAAAGGGTTACGATCCATCTCCTCCTACCGGAATGTAACATAGTTTCCCAGTAACATATTAAATTACGATGATTTACCGCCGGAAAAATCGTTCGTCAGTTACCAAATAAAACCAACCACCATGATTCCGTAAGCTTATATAAACAATGGCATTCATCCAAATCTCACAATCAAAATTTATGCATATTTTGTTTTTCATTTTCAGAAATTATACAAATAAAAAACAGAGGTGTTAAACACATTAAAATAAGACATATTTGTTTAAACCGTGGCAATAAATCCACTGAGACAAACACATTGCTAAATAGTTTTTATTTTATCTTATTTTTTTAAATTGTACTGTCCAGCGTGTCCTATCTTAAAATCACGTGTGTAAATAGTTAAGAATTTTCTGATTTGTACCTATGTACGGATAGTGGCGCTAAACTATAACAAACAATCACTTAGAATGGGGTTGAATAATATTTAACTATATGAATGAATGGTTCATTATAATGCAACCTGTATATATACAACAAGTAAATATTAGTATATCATGACATTACAGCCAACAAGTAAATATTAGTACATCATGACATTACAGCCAACAAGTAAATATTAGTACATCATGACATTACAGCCAACAAGTAAATATTAGTACATCATGACATTACAGCCAACAAGTAAATATTAGTACATCATGACATTACAGCCAGACATTAGGCACTGCCAAATTGAAACGCAATCATATCAAATTAATCGTTTATTTATGTGTTATGGAATGATTCTCAATATAAATATTTAACAATATCATACAGGATATAAATATCACGTATTCAAATACATATAGATCAATAACAAATATTTTATTTGTTTGCTAATGGGATAAACAGACCAAATAGATTGTCGTTAGATGTGATGACATCTTAATCGAAAAACGAGCCAAAAATTAAAAATTGTGAAAAAGGCCAAGGAAAAAAAACATATCATTCCAACGAAACACTTATAAGGATTACAACTGTAGAACTATGTCGAACGCATTAATTATCATTATTATACTTCACATTAAAATGCCAGATTTTGATTGGCTAATACGAGGGAGATAATTTACTATATCCCATGGCTCAGCTGAGACAATTTTTTGAATGTCATCCTCTCGTGCAGACCATTTAAAATCAATAAATTAAAGGACTATGAATTGAATTTTCATCAATAAGTTTAAAGACAATGCTTAAGTTCTACGTTTTGGCCTCAGAACGTTTCCATAGACTGTCAAAATAAAAGATACGTCTTGCTTTATTTCTGTTGTTTTTCTAATTACTGTAACGTACTGTTTTGCTGTTTACATGACGGATTGTTATCCATCGATGAAACATTGTCAACCTTAGCTTCGCCTCGGTAATAATCATGGAGACCGGATCCTATCATTGAGATGTCGTTCCTAAAAGGGGGTGTATTGTTTGGTTGCTACCTCCTCGGCATAACCTATAATCTTCTTATAATCTTATTCAACTTCGTTTAAATGAAAATATGCGGGAAAAAATTCTTGTAAATCATATAAGAACATCTTTATCAATCATAGCTGATATAATTACATTAAATATTATGATGTGCTACCTGAAATGTAAATACTAAAGACAGCTCTGTAAATATTTTAACGACATATTTTATGTATGTTTATCGGAATATTGTCAGGGCGATAACCTAACATAATATTGTATTTACTCAAACAATGCATTTTATCTAAGTCAGCTAAAAACGGATATTGTTACGAGGTACTTTGAATATTGATAAATAAGTATTCTGATAGTGATTTTTTGGTTACAAATGACAACAGAGAAAATACAAATTAAAAAATTACTGGCATTAGGTGGTACGCACTGTCAAGTACTAAAATAAACATATCAGGTAATAAAAATTTGTATTCATCGCCTGACATTTACGTACAAAGAGTATTTAAGTTTTTTTAAAAACCTTGAAAAAAGCTTGAAAACAGTGTAAAAAGGTTTTTAAAAATTAACTTTATATTTAAATGTCAATTACTTTGTTAACAAAAGAGCGTGTAGAGTCTGACTTGATCGCTACCATATTGCGCCATTTAATTTGATATTATAAATTATAAAGTATAAAAATCAACATTGATCCACGGTTAAACCCATGTTGTAGGAGATATCACACAACTAAAAAGGTACTCTTTTTCCGGTCCCGCTTCCACTTTTTAATTGGGGTTTTCACGAGAGGAACCCTGCTTTAAAATGTATATTAGGAGTTAAATTCAACAAAAATACCAACATTAACTATAAGGGACTTGCGAAATCGCAGTCATGTGTATATGATTATTATGCTTATGTCATCTGAGAAATACATGTACATGTAGTAATACCTTAAGTAGAAAAAAGAAAGTGAAATTTTCCTCGTCAAGTTTAATTGCTTTATTTCGTTTTTCATAGACTTAAATGTGCAGTCAGACAAATTTAGTTTTTTTTCTTACGAACGTAATATGCCTTGTTGTAAGAAATATTAGGTTGGTAATTGGGTCAATCTTGTTAATTTTTGGTACGTTGTGGTTTTTTGTTTTGAGGGTTTTTTTTACCGAAAGATAATCCAAGCTTTATAATGAAAAGTGGTATAAAAAAACTCAACTCTTTTCCCAAAGAAAATCCAAGCTTTATAATGAAAAGTGGGATAAACAAACTTAACTCTATTAGCTTTAGGACACTGAGTCATTTTTGTAGAATTAATCATTGCCTAGTTGGAGAAGCAACATACCATAATAGATATCTTTTAAGCATTTTTGAAACTACATCCCGTGGTAACGACCATTCAAGAAAAATTCAACATTGACGAATAATACTTTTGAATTGTTTTTACATTTTGTTATACCGGGCCTATGATAGCTTACTATAAAGTATGGGTTTCGCTTATTGTTGAAGCCATACAGTTACCTGCAATTGTTTACATCTTTGTCCTTTTGTCTTTATGGAAAGGTATTCTTACATCATTTCCTTATTTTTTACATAAGAATAAGACTAAGTTTATGAACAAATTAGAAAAAACCCGCGCGATCGCGATTTGAAGAATTCTTGAAATGTTTATGGTGATACACAGCTTGGATTCGTGTTTCTCAAACTGTTTTTATGCACTGGAGCATTATGTTGATAGTTTTGATAAGTTTGTCAGTTCTTCTTCCATAGGAGTTTGACTGTCCAATCTTTAAGTAGCTTCTGTCTCGGTGTTACACAGGTGCTCCTAGAACGGAGGAAATAACTCAGAGAAGAAGAAGACAACCTAGAACACTGATGATTAAAACATTTTTCAGTGGTGCTAGTTTGTAGTTTTTTTTGGTTTTTTTTTCGAAAGGTGCGAGTCAAGTTCAAGAACGGAGGAAATAACTAATAGAAGACAATCTAGAACTCTCTGATGATTTAAAACATTTCTTCAGTGGTGCGAGTTTGTAGTATTTTTTTTCGAGTGGTGCGAGTTTTGTCTCTGTGTGACACCGGTGCTCCGAGAAAGGAGGAATTTACTAAGAGAAGAAGAAAACAATCTAATGATTAAACACATTTCTTCGAGTTTATTATATTTCTTTTCTTTTTTTTTTTTGAATGGTGCGAGTTTGATAAAGTGATGCAAGTTGTAATAATTAGTAAGAATGTGTGAGTTGGCTGTGAGCCGCGCGAGTTGTCATAAATTCAAGACAAATTGAATACAAAACCATTTCAGCCTGCTTACAAAACGTAGACGACAAGGAACCAGCTACGGAACTTTATTTGGGGTTTAATTAATTAAGCTACGCTAATTAAAGCAATTACTATATGAAGTTATAAAGTACATTACATACACTAACTATTTATTATTATATAATACTTCAGACGATCGTCGGCTCGGAGACAAAGCGGCTAAAAAATTTTGGTCTCCAAATTTAATAGTATAGATTTAATAGTATAGATGTATTTATCCTATCCGAGCCATCACGAATTAAGGTACACACAGAATATACATAATTTTATTAAATGTTCATTGTCGAAATTGGCATGACATTGTATGAACTATCCAAGTTGTTGATAATGACTTCATTTTCAGTACATTTTCCGATGCGACCTAGTGGTTTTTACATCGCGATGACCTTGGGGTCATTCAGATGTATTGCTATCGCCTAGATTTCCATTATGTAAATTAGTTTTGGGTTTGTAACCGATCTATAAACATGATAAATATGCGCACATAAACGAATGCAAAATAACATTCCTTATCGTTTGATATAAATACATCTCTTCAATGAATACTGATAAAAATATTTTTGTTTACAACATAAATTAATAATATGAAAATGTTTTGTAGTTAGATATATATATATATATAAGTAAAAAATCATTGATAATATCAATGCAGACGTACCGTAAAATTGTGTTAAAGCATGCGGAAGAATATCTCAGAGAACTTTTTGCGAGGACCGGTAACTCTGTAATTGTTTTTGCGGGAAAATATGAATGCCTACTCGTATCCAATCTTACAGAAAAGTGTCCACCATGTATACTGATTTGTATCACTACAATATAATAGTTATTACGGTGAAGTTGAATTTCCTGTCATTTATTCATCATCCACGCACGAACTTGTCTCAGAAAAAAATATATCTCTGTACATTAACCTCAGTTTCAGGTAAAGAGATATGTTGTTTTTTTCTGAAACAAGTGCTTTTGACCATCCCCAAGAACTTGTGGTCATCCGATGTTCAGTACTTCAGTACTTTGATTCTTGTTTGTAGTAGTCTGTGTGTCGATGTCAGATTGCTAGTTTAAAAGGCCAGTTTAGGTTATGTCTCTAGTTGTAAGTGACGCTGACCTAAAACTATTTTGCTTACATTTATTTTGTAGTTTTAATATGATTTTTTTAATTCTTAAAACAGGTTACACTTTAAAGGCCACGTTGTTTGACAAGTTGAGATTCTTTAGAGACAACTTGAGAATTGTTCGAAAACAATTATCTGATAAAAAAGCATGATAATTTAAATACTAGACTTGATAGCGTTGCAAATTTTGTAATACGTATATAGAAATTTAAACTTTTTTGTTTTATACACGCACACACATAATGTCAAACTTAATATCATTTTCAGAATAACGTTTTATTTAATACAATCTAAATGGAATTAAGTCATATCAAATGTTCAACTTTCTGCTTTAATTTAACGTTTTACGGGCAGCTTGTGAGAATTGTTTACTGACTTAGGAAATCTTAGGTTCAATAAGCGGCTGCAGCAACCAAGGACTTTAAAAGCGGTGTGGCAGATAATACCAATTTTGAAGTCCTTTGCTGCTCCGATTGGTGATTGAACCCACGAATTCTCAAACTCGAGGCGAGTACCCTGCAATGAAACCATAAAGGAAGTTCTAACTAAACTCATCATAGATAGCAATCTTAGTACGCCAGACGCGCTTTTCGTCTACAAAAGACTCATCAGTGACGCTCGAATAAAAAAATATTAAAAGGCAAAATAAAGAACAAAGGTGAAGAGCTTTATGATATAATTTCTTAATATATTGGAGAACTGTCCCGAGCCGAATATCTCAATACGCAAACTTTCGATAGAATTCATAATGATAACACTTCGAGGGATATTATTGAACAAATATGTCATGACACCGTGGGCTATAATGCTGTTCTGGACGAGTGGTAATCTCCACAAAAGAATACAGATCAAAACGAAACTGAGGTCATTTTTGTTTTTGAAAAAAATGTCAAAAGGTCCTTTAAATCACTTTGGTCCAAAGTGGGAGGACTTATTTCTTTTTAGTATACTAAGCGTTTAAGTGCTCAAACAAAACGGAAAGTTTTTGTTATCGTGAATCCGAAATAAACATGGCTTAAGTCTTGGAGAACATGATTTATTTATTAGTCGTTATTGGCTTTTCACTAGCTTGGAACCATTTGTAATTCCTGTTTTAAAAACTTCGTGGCAATGACAAGAGCATTTTGAATCAAGGAAAATAAAACGAAACAAGGCAGAAATTTCATTGAAATCATTGGTACGAAAGAAATTGAAAAAAAACAGGTCCATCCCAGAGTGCATGTGAATCGAATTTCTAACTAACAATTCAATATGCATTTATTGATAATTATAAGCCTACTTATTTTTCAACAACTTATAGTAGACTAGATTAGAATATTGACTACCATAACAAAGGCTGCTATTGTCATCTACTTTGACCGACAATCTGATGCAATGTGTATAGTTAAATTTCACATTTAAAGATTTGAATTCAAACAACCTAAAAAAAAAATTATATGAAGAATTAATTATTATGAAGATTTTGGTATTTTTCGTCAAAATGATACATTCATGTCTCAACTTGGGTAAATCCTATTCTTTTTAACATTTTCAATGCTTCTCATTGCCTGTTGATATTAAATTTTCCATACCAATCAAACATTTGTGCCTACAAAATAGTATGAGAACTCGAATCTTTAATTACGTGTGCAAATGCCTGAGCCGTAAATAAAGATTTCACCAATTACTTTTTAAATTCAATTATTTAAATAAAAAGTAATTGGTGAAATCTTGCAATATACTTTCTACAAATATCTGGCAATAGATCTCTCCCATTACATTATATATTTGACCTTTAAAGTTTTGTTTTAATGTTCTCCATTTTCTTTGGAGGATGTCTGAGTTGGAATTACAATGGATTTTTTTTAAATTTTTGTAGTGCTCATTTTCATTTTTTTTATTATATGAATTAAAAAAAAGGAAATTGTAAATAATAGGACAACGAGACCTTAGTTTAAGACTGCATAAACACCTCTCTGAAACATATTTGAATGTTTTGTAGTTTGCTTATCGTTCAGTGGCAAATATTTCACGCATATTCACGACGATAACAAAATAACAAATAAGAGCTCTGCAAAGCTGGTGGACCGGGATGAAGGAAGACGATTTCGAATTAAACCTTCAAACGAGGGCAATTACTTTGTTGAATAGGCATAAATTTTGCTTTGCAAAACTCACCTACGGACCCATAAAAGATTTGTTGCAATGGTTCTTATGGTTAACAGAGCGTGACACGCTCTCTACATTTGGCATCTTATTCAACGTCAGTTTTGACCAGTGCCAAATGGCAACGGATGCTTATATTTCTATCTTCAGTCAACCCCACGGGGTGATTGCATATCCTGTATAGGAAACACGTGTTCAAATAGTTCATGCACTATGCGTGTTAATCAGATAGAGGTTTATTTATCGACATTAAACGTTATTTTTTATGCTTTTCTAAATCATTTATTATTATGTGAAATATCTATTATGATAAAAAAAATTGTTTAAACTATATATTCCGTGAGTGTGAAATGCAAGAAGGCTGTCCATAACTGAGAAGAACTTATTTTGAAAAATATACTGGTCTAATGTGATGTTTCATTTGTCTAATGTGATGTTTCATTTGTCTAATGTGATGGTTCATTTGTCTAATGTCATGTTTCATTTGTCTGATTGCATTATGATCGTTACATATTTCAGTCAGCGTATTGGCAATAATCCATTGATGATAATCCTTTCTATAATCACAAAGATATAACAAAGTCATATGTTATAACGTGGTACATACTAGTACGGTTAATCAAATTTAATCCGTCTTACATTCTTACATGTAGCCCTTTTCTTTTATTTTTTGCTATAAAGGAAACTCTAGATGGGTTTGTGTGGTAGTAAGACGAATGAATTTGATAATATTCAGCCAACACCTAAAACGAGAAATACACCTCCAAATGATACAGAGGAAGATGGAAGTGATTTTTTATACGAGTTTGAAAATGATTCTGATGAGGTAAGTAGAAAAGTATAACAAATATACCGAACTCCCAAGGCAAATTCAAAATGGGGAAAGTCTACCATATTCCCGACATGGTACAGGCATTTCCGAAGACAATGATGGGCTAAATCTGGTTTTATAGCTAGCTAAACCTCCCACTTGTATGACAGTTGTTTATAGTACCAGTATATTAACAAAATTAGGTAAAACCCAAACAGACATAATAGGTTAATGTGACATTAATTAAGATCCAGCAACCAAAACTGTGTAAACATGCATCACAGATATACAACACAACTGACTAAAAAATTCAAACAAACATACAAATTAATCTAACAAAGACGCCAAAAAAGGTGTAATGGATAGTAAATTTGACAATGACGGTCAGCAAAAACAAATGTTGTCGTTGATAGTCCATACCGTATATTATATAAAGTATACACTTTCTCAATAAAGTAAGAATAACATTCGAAATTTTTTTTATATACAGAACCATAAAATCTTTCATCAAGTCAAAAGTTTGAACTGCTCGATTATGTCTTGGTTTCTTCCTTCTTTTCCTACATACTTTTTTCATATTAAAGATGTGATATTAATATAGAAATAAGGAGAAGAGGTATTGTTTCCAATGCGAAAACTATCCATTAAGACCAAAGGACAAAGGTGTAAACAACTAAAGGTCACCGCACAGCCTTCATAAATGAGCAAAAAAAAGGATTGTAAGCTATAAAAGGTACCGGTATGACTAAATGTCAAACAATTCAAACAACCTTAGAAAGTCTCGTATCACAACTTATACAAAGAAAAACAGATGTTTTTGCTTTCGTCAGATACAACTTGAACCAACAGAGGAAGGTTATCCTGAACCAAAAGCCAATGATGATAGTCACAAAATATTTCAAATGTTGTTTGCAAGGAAAGGTTCAAATGACGGAACAGACGAAAACGGCAATGAAATAATTAACCAGGAACAGATAGACAATTATGCAAGAAATGTAAGAAATTTAATTCGATAAAACTATGTCAGCAACGTTATACTTTAAAATGTGTATCAATAAGGCATCAATCATATGATCTTCAGGGAGAAACCCGAGTTTTTTTGTTTTTTTGTTTTTTGTTTTTTTTTTTTTTTTTTTTTTTTTTTGGGGGGGGGGGGGGGGGGGGTATTTGGTAAAAAAAAAAATTACCGAAGTAGTCTATGTTGTATGTTATGTATGTAAATATGACAACTTTGCTCATTTGATAAGGGAAATATATTCATTATTAGTATCTCTGAGAGTGATTCTTAAAAACTAAAAAAAAATACCTTGCATATATTGGTCAAGTTTTACCTAAATTATCTAAGAGCCAGTGCGTTCACCACTGAAAATATTGATAAATTTTAATCTGTTACTTTTATTCTACACAATCAAATATTTTGGAAAAAAAACATCATGGTCGTTCATTTAATATTTGATTTTAGTTTAGAAAAAAAATCTTATTCATGAGATAGTGTTATTTAGGAAAAATAATTCCACTTTGAAAAAAGATATTTTTTTCAAAACGTAGCTTTTGTAGTTCACAACTAAGAACGATTGACCTCTTTCAAAAAAGTTGAAAAATGGCGACAAAGCACATTTTTATCACACGCTTATCATGTCTTTACACAGACTAACATTGGTGTATTTGATATCTCCGTACAAAAAGTTTAATGTACTTTAATAGTATGAAGTGAAAAGCATATTTAATATGTCTGTTTCCAGATGATAAAACCATACACCACCAAATGCATTGATTTTTTTTTATACATTGTTTATAAAGTTTCCAAATTCATATAGTTCTTTGATCACCATATTTTTAGTTTGACTTTGATCAAAGATGTATCTATTGAACGCAAATGATGTGCTTTTTCTAGAGTTACTAAATAAAAGTTGTACCCTACGAAATAGTGATGAAGTTAAATAATGCAAATATTGCGATTTTGTATGGAAGAAATGAAAACAATACGTTTAAATAATAGTATTGTATTATTTTATTTTATCATGTTATTATGATGACATCTGCTCAGTGCCATAATTGACAAAAATATATATATATATATCATTTTAATCCTGTTAAGAGTATTTACGCTGTCTAAAATATTATCCAAAATGTATACAAATATAACTGCTGCTAACTTCATACCTTTCGATTGCTAAAATGTAAATTTGAATACAGATTGCTCTTATAATTTCTACCTTTCAATTCCGCGACATAAAAAGGCACCAGCTGATGTGTCCTCCACCTTTGAGGATCTTATAGAATACTTAGAGAAACCTTTCAAGAATCATCCTGACAGAGATGCGTTCCTGGTTAGAGCAATTCTAGTTTGGTTAAGCAACCAGAATATTGATCAGATGGCTATGTCACCAGGCAATTCTACATCACCAGCAGGATACTTGGCATTGTTAGGACAAAAGAAAACTACTTATTCTACATTTTTTACAGCTCTCTGTAGGTAACGTATTTAGTTTGTTAAGAGTCTGGGGTTGTTTCTAGAAAAACAGTTTATCAGAATTGCAAAGTGTAGTGGCAAGTAACGTAAAATATAATATTGTAATACCTCCTTTTTTATTATTTTACCCAAATTTCTTTAATTCTGACAGAATATGAAATTAAAATTTAACCTCTAAACAATAGAGGATTTCACAATATGCTTTAAAATGTTAAAATATAACAGAGAGATTTATGCTTTTACAACCAAATTGAATATTTTTTGTTCAGAAAAGGTGGAGTATTATGTGCACAAATACGTGGAATTTGTAAAGCTGGCGATTATCAACCTGGTGATAGAGATGAAAGAGGCAGTCTGTGGAACGCTGTTTATCTCCATGACAACTGGCACATTGTACATCCGTTCTGGGCATGTCGCTCAGTATTTGGAAAGGTCTCTGGTGGCTGGATAAAGTTGGAAGCAGGGGGGCAAACTATCGCTAAACGGACGGAAGAATCTGCAGGCACGATTCAGAATTCATTTGATGATAATTACATTATGCCTAAACCAAAAGAATTTCTGTATGCCTGCCATCCTAACGATAGTAAATGGCAGCTTGTGAAACCTCAAATAAGCAGAAATGAATTCCTTGACAAAGCATATCTTCTCCCGCCATTCTGGAGATTTGGTATGGAGATGATTAGTGAAGACAGATGCTCTATTATTTCTAAGAATGGTGAAGCTAAAATTTCATTTAAAGCGCCTTTAAAAACTGGAAATGAAATTGATGTATGGTATGAGTTGCTCCTAAAAGAAAACACTTCTGGTGCTGAAACAGATCTACTCAATCCAGAAAATATTCCAAAACTTGTGAGCATGATACGGAACACTCCAGAATGGAACTGCACAATTCAATTCCCAGCAAAGGGACTATATAAAATAGTATTTAGCGGTGGTAGGCACAACCAAGGTCTAGCGAGATTGGGTGAATTTCAGTTAGTTTGTAATGAGAAAATACAAGACTGCAAACCATTACCTTTTAATCCTGGACGTGCCGGTATAGGTTATGGACCCGTTACGGAAAGTGCTGGATTGATTTTACCTTCTCACAGAAATGGCCAGATTCACGTAGACAAAACAAAACCTACCAGTATCAGATTTTTTGTAGACAGCATTGTATTAAAGACTCTGATTGTAAGAACGGAATTAATAACCAATTCTTCCGTAAATGACAAAAATTTACAGAAAGCATTAAATGAAAAAGTTACATGGAAGATCGAGTCCAGTGGAAAAGAACATAATATGCAAACGTCTGCAAGAGAACTAAAAATAGTCACAGATGCACAGACAAAGGAAAATTGCTACCTCCGAATTTATACTGGACACCGTTCAAGACATCAAGATGATACAATCGAACCGGAAATGTCTGTTGTGTGTAATTATTTCCTGACCACTTCAAAGTTACCAAGTTATGAGGTAAATGCAATCGCAGTTACTAACAAATAAGCTGTAACCTTTATGTTCACATTAATATAGCGTATCGGTTTCACATGTGCCCTACTTGATAATTTACCGATTTACATACCCCCTTTTTTATTTACACACATACATAAAATTCGGTTTCCCCAAATCGGAGTGATTTCAATGAAAAAGGGAATACGGTACAGAAAAGGTCTCTCGTTGATTTTTCCTTAAAATTTTGACACAAAGTGCACCAATGAAATATGCAATAAAAAATATACCATCATGACTTATTTTTCGAGATATATCAGTTTGAAATTTGCATGTTTCATGTTGAAACCCAAAATTAAATTTTTCAATCCTTTTTAAACGGAAAGAGATTTTTTTTTGGGGGGGGGTGGTAGTGTTCCTTAATTTGTTGGCCTTTAAGGTATAGAACCACTAATTCAGGCCCGGTCGGAAAGAGCATACAAGAAAGTAGTACATATTTTAAACAAAATATAGTTCCTACGCATAGCTGTATCAATTGGTGAAATATTTGGGTAGTTTTGGTATCAAAAGAAAGCTTGGAGACTTGGGATCACTGTAGAACCCTTATTGAAAGTTTCTTTTGAGTAATAAAGAAGTATTTAAAATTATAATAGGGCACATTTTCCCTGTTGTTCAGATCAGAAGCACCTGTTTTTGTACTATTAAACTTCCGGGAAGCAGTACGTTCTAATATGCAATTAAAAGTATGTTGAATTTTTTTCAGCACAAGTCAGGATAAGGTATAGTTTTGACATGAAATGACTGCCACTTTATTTGAACTTAAGACAAAGTAGCCATTAATGCTTGAAATTGCAGAATTTAACATAGAAAGCAACTGGGCTATGAATTAGTGGTTTTATACCTTAAGGGCATACTAAACGGTTTTGAACCCACGATGATTTTTTGACGAAAATATGTAAACAAGCTATTTTCACCCAAATATGTATTAAAAAATGTATCTTCATGTGCTACTTTTAGAGATAAGTGGGGTAGAAATTTTAGACATTTACTGAAAATTTCGGTTTTCTGGACATTTATCCCGGCGGGGATTTGGACATACATACCCAACTTTTTTGTTTCAAAAGGTAAACAAGCAGATTTTTGTAAAAAGCATTTTTATTATCTTCTTTACATAATTATACAATGAATTTGTGTAACAATTCTTTGGATATGATTTATTTTTATCCAATTTTCATGACTAGAAAAAAAAACGGCATTTTTTGTTGTATATTTATCTTATTTAAAAAAAAGCAATTGGTACAAATAATCATCATACATAACCAAGCAAAATGTCATTTTCAAAAAGAGGTGTCCATGTTCTCGTTTATCAGCTAATGATTAATATCAGTAGAAATATGCATCTTTTCCTGAAAAATAACATTTGACGTTAGCAACGTCATTATCTCCCCTCAGGCTGTTACTGAGTCGCTTGCCCTTAAGGCAGTCCCTAAAAGGAAGGTTAGATGCGATACATGTTTTGTAAAATCATACAATTATCAGTAATAAAAAGTTTACAATTTTCTAGCCTATACAAATGCATTATAGAAAAAAGCGTTATCGTTGAACATACTTGAAGTAGGATATAGTCGATTGCAAAATTTAAAAAAAGGGGTCTATGTGCTCATCTTTTAGCTAGAAATAGAAAATCAAGTTTATAAATGCTGCAGATCCCATTTCCCTTTTTTGGCGCTACATTACGTTGCAGTGTATTCTTAATGCATTATCGTGTGCAGCTTTTCCCGCCTTGCAGCAAAACGCTGTACGAATTACTGTAATATACGAATTTATTTATAATAGAAAAGTCTTCATTTGCCACGAATTTTATGCACCCGCAGCAGATTTCGCGAAAAAGCTCATTTTCCATTGCAAATACTTAAAGATTAAAAAAATCAAATTCACATAACCGATTTGATGACGTTATTAATTTTTCCACGAGTTTTGTATGCTTATCCTTAGCAACGTTGAAAACAACGCGTTACATTTGGATGCACTATTATCTGCCCTTTCTACCGTATCGTTTGCCCTAAAAATAGGGACTGAAGGAACTTTTTCGGGACTTTGGGATTGGGCTTTTATTTTTGCGGGAATTCGGGATTTATACTTATCTGGACTCGAGATTTGATTATTTCCGGAATTTGGGATGACAATATAAGTTTATTGTAGGGAAAATCTTAATTTCTTTGACCTTGCTTATACAGGAGAAACCTCGCTTTTCTTCCTGTTTCTAAAGTTCGTTTACGAATGAATTTTATATTCTCCTACAATGAACAGTCATATGATGTACATGTATATATTTAGCGTTGCAAATTGAATGATATATATAACACCAGTTAATCAAACTGTAACCAATTCTATAAATTTTTCTATCATACTAGCACTTAGTGTGATAATAAACTCATATAAATACCATGCTTAAAACTTAGTACGCCAGACGCGCGTTTCGTCTACTCATCAGCGACGCTCGAATCATACAATTATCAGTCGGAAAGCAAGCCCTTAGAAACGACCGTTGTTGCTACTTTCATAAGACAACAATGGGACTGATATTAAAGCCCGCCATTCTGAAATTGCGTTAATTTCGCGGAAAAAATAATTTGGCGGCAATTTGGAAAATTTTCTATTTTCTGTTTCTTACTTGTCATTGGGATCAGAAATAGATTTCTTTCTATCTTTTAAGCACGTGTCTTATTATTAAAGAAAATAATACTTAAATTGGCCGTCTTTTAACAATTACGTTAATAGATTATGCGAAATTGTCTGTTATTTTTCTTCTTTTTTGGCCGTCTTTTAACAATTACGTTAATAGATTATGCGAAATTGTCTGTTATTTTTTCTTCTTTTTTCACAGATAAACAAAGATTATACCATATAACAAATTAATAATATCTCAAAATTAAAAAAAAATCAAGTCTAACGTTCTGTCACCCCTTAGGAAACCCCATCCGAACTAAATTCCAAAAGAAAGACATTTTTTGACATTGTAGTTTTTTGGTCATACACATCGATGTCAACATGCATCTGAACATAATGCACACACATTTAGTGTGTTTGTTTGAAAAAGCAATGGCGAGTTCAGCTGTGAATTTGACTGGATTAATTATTCTCTTTAAGTGAAATGTTTGACGTTAACTAAAACAATAAGGTAAGGAAATTTTATACTGTATGTGCACAACCTTAGTTGACTAAAAAAAACTCAGTTCATTGTTAGTATCATTTTTTTTTGTGATAAAGGAATCCTGCAAAAGTAAATGCAAAAGTATTGCCCTTTGAACTTAAAAAAATCTCTTTCAGACGCATTTTAATCACTCTTATTCAACGCATTTTAATACTTACATGAAGTGTGACTTACTTATGACTTGTGATCTAAAACATAATTGTTGACTTAGCACTCAGAAAGTGCTCTGTCCCTCTGAAATACTTTTAATAAGCAAAGCTATTTATTTTTTTTAAATAAAAGAAGAATATGAGACCGAGCTTATTTATTCGCAAGTTCATGATTAGGCTATAAACCATTTTAAATAATTATCCATTGTTTAGGCTTTTTTTTATAATTTGAGTCCATTCATTAGAACTTGCATGGAATCAATGAGACAAAATGTATTGTATATTTCGTTTAATCATACAAGGATTGCAAATCAATTTCCTTTTATTTCAAATATTAATAAGGAATAGAATACTTTGATTATAATTTCTTTTTAATGTAAATGAAAAAGGTAGGATCAGGTATCAATACTGAAACAGAATTCCTGTTTGTGATCATTTTAACCCTGTCTAGATCCAGTAGTCATGCATATTTTGGCTACCCCTTGTCTTTATGTAGTAGAAATTTATTTCTGTGTTGATACTGGGAACAGTCAATATATATGTTCCTGGTTGATATATATTGGTTACAGCAGTAAAATTATTTACCAAAATATGAATATGAAAGTTACCCTTGGAATAATATATTATGGCACAGAGTAACATCAAAGCCCTATTTCAGTTCTGAAATTGTTGTAAAAGTGATAATATGTGTTTACCTAATTGTTTTATATATGTCTTTAGTATCAACATATATTTAGTAAAATTATTTTAATAATAATCACTTGTATATAACAGTATATGGTGCATAATTTTAATAATAATATATATGATAGTACCAATAAGTTTGTTCATGAAAAGTGTCAACAAAGGGACGTAACTCGTAAATTACTATCGGCACCGCTTCGTCAGAAATATCGACACATCGAAGTGGCACATTTGCGTATTACAGCGTATTAAGTGGCACAAATTTGACACGGGCCAGTTTATAAAAAGCCTCATCACATATTTTAAATTCAGCATAGGTTCCCCAGAAGTTAAGAAAGAAATTTCAACTGATGTGTTGAAAAAACTTGACGCGACGAGTGACGACCTTTGGTTTGAAGGCTTTGTATTCTAATTCAGTACGTTTAATCAAAACAATTTTTATGTGAGAACTTCTAAAAAGTATACACAATTGGCATTTGTAACGTACAGCATGCTTTGATTTCATTTGATATGACTTTTTGGAGGAAACAGAGTCGTTTCAGTTGAGGAAAAAATGACCCAAAAAATGCCCAAATATGGTAGTCACATGACTTCCATTGTTGCTTTAAGGAATGGGGTCAAACCGGGGTCAGCTTTCTGACTGTATAAAGACCAAATAAAGTACGAAGTTAAGGAGCATTGAGGACCCAAAGTTCCGTGAGGTTTTTACTAAATACAACTAAGGTAATCTATTCCTGGGGTAGAAAATCGTTAGTATTTTGAAAGTTAATTTGTTATTATGACCATATCAATGATAATTTATGTCAACACAGAAGTGCTGACTACTGGTCTGGTGATACGAATGACTGCATCGTTAGTTTTATACCCATCAAGTAATGATTGTATAATTATCAGAATGGGAGTAAGCGATTTGCCCGACGTAATCTACTGACTGCCATGGAAGGAGATGATATGGAACTGATAAACAAATGCTTGTTACATTGTGAGAGGACACAACTCGGTGAAGACGATGCTGATATGAACTATGCCCGACAGAAAATTGAGGTTCTAACTCTCAGGAAAGGTACACTTAATTTATCATAAGTTGTGTAAGCAAAAGCGTAAGGTAAATTGATATAAGTTTTTTTTTTACTTTGGAAAGTGGGGGCATGACTTTACATGCCGATATCTTTAATTATTTCTTACAAAGAAGATTTTTAAACCAAAACTGTACAAACATAACTTTTTTTCTCGTTCGTTAGCAGCTGAAACGGGACGCTACCAAATTATTGAGTTGTTGCGTCTCGTATATGTACAAATTGCTGTCAGTGTATTGAGGACGAATCCCTATGTATCCTAGTGTGTCCGAAATATAAGCAACTTTGAGAAAATACATCAAAAATATTTCTGTTACTGAACTTTTGATTATAAAGAACATCAAACGGTCGATTTAATTAGGAAAACAAGTGCCTTACTCTCCTATTTTACATATATATATATATATATATAGATAACAGCTGTTACATGCATTATTTAGTTTCTTCTATGGAGCTGTACAAAATATTTATGGGGATTATATAAGTATGCATATTTTTTTTTCAATGAGGTGAACTTTTTAGCATTGCCTCATTGTAAAGATACCGTACATCCATGTAGTGTGTTTGTCTGTATTTCACTACACATTGAAAGTTTTTAATTCACTACTTGTAACAGTACTACATGTACATGTCAATTTAGTATGTCTTCTTGTATTCCAATGATGCCTAAGATTTAAATTTCCCTACATGTAACGGTGCTGTACGTCTATGTGCTGTGTCCATCTTATATGTGTTAAAACTGCATGTGTATGTGCCAGTCGCCAACACTACCTTATGATGAAAAAGTTTTGTGGTACTAGTATATGTTAATGAGACAGGCTAAGAAAGTCAACAATATAATAAAATTAACTAAAGACATCTATAATTGTCTGTATTATATATGCGACATGACCAAACTGATTAATCAAGAGAAGTGGAACAGTTTCATTTTAATTGTTAACAGGTCATGGGTGAAACTAGTCAATGGTCAGCTATTGTAGTAACCACAAACATGCCAATTTTTCACAAACTCAGCAGTTGAGGTAAAAGTAGCAAACTTGGTATACATTATCACATGTAGTTTGAGCACATTGTCAAGTCTTAGTATTAATTTCAAATTTCAAATGTCAGATTACAAGGATCCAGGCCATTTGGAGCACGATTATCGTACTTAGACTCAGAATTCAATTAATCAAAATACTGGATTTGGTGTTTCTAGCACAAATTTTGTTCTTCCGAGTACTGAGTAAAGTTTCATGACCGACATGTACGTGTAGTTTCACTATCTAGCTCCCTAAAATAATACAACCGAAAACAGCTTGAACAGAAACTAACCGAATATACATGCGTGCTATACAACTTTCTATTGTCTGCATCCTCATTATTTTTCTCAATAGGTAGTAGAAATGAAAATGTTGCTAAGACAAAGATTCTCATAACATTTCATGTTGACTACAGGTTTTAAATTTTACTTTCAAATATTTACTACTTCTTGGTTTCCTGGTTTAAAAATGTCATTATTTGGCGTGTCGCAATCATATTTAAGGGCATACGATACAGTTTTGATCCCATAATGAAATTTTGATGAAAATTTGCATATAGGCTATTTTTTACCTGATTAAAATAAATATGTAATAAAAAATATACCATCATGTGCTACTTTTTGAGTAAATTGAGGTTGAAATTTCAGATATTTCCTCAAAATTCTGATTTGTGGACGTTTTTTTCTTTTCGATAGAAATACAAAAAAGTTTTGTTTTAAAAGATAAACACAAGATGTTTTTTGTTAAATTATTTGTAATTTCTGTTTTTCATAAATGTTCTATAAATTTGTACATTTCATTTTTACAAATAACTCATATTAATCAAATGATCATGTTTGTAGAAAAAAAAACGTCATTTTTTGCTGTATATTTATCAAATTTAAAAAAATTGCACTATTGACTTTTTCATGAAAATTGGTAAACATAATCTTCATACGTAATCAAACCAAATGTCATTTTAAAAAAGAGGGGTCCATGAACTCGTTTTCAAGTTAAATCAGTTTGAATGATAAAAATCAGTCGAAAACTGCATCTTTTCCCGATAAGTCACAGTTTGACGTCGCGAAAATAACAATTTACGTTAGCAACGTCATTACCTCCCCTGTAATTTACAACGTTAAACCACAATATACTATCCATTCAGTGTGAAATCGTGATTTTTTTTCTTTTATTCATTGTGCACACATACACCAACAAGAAATCACACTTTGTGATTTTGGAGGATACTACTTGGAACGATGTTATTGTTTTTAAATGAAACTTCGAACTTCAGATTTTCCAAAATTTCAAGCTTGCACTGTATTTTAGTATTATTATTATATATAGTGCCTGTTTACGTTGTAATTCCAAAAGAAATCAACAGGCATGTGTACGAATTTAGTTATAAGATGAGATTTCACTTTTACTATGATGCATGTAACAAAAACATTCAGGTTATTTCAATGAAATCAATGTTTATTTTCAGCAATCCATGATGCAAGACTGAGAAAAAATTTAGGAAATGTAGAATTGACAATCAAAATGATAAAGAGTTCTAAATTTATGAACATATTCTTACGCGATATTCAAGTATTGGAGAAGTTTGCCGAGTCTCTTCGTCAATTGAAAGGTTTTACGTGTGATCTTCCCAGGCTGCTAGATGCCTTATTAGAATTACGGAATCGAAATGTTCCGAATGATGTTGTCAAAAACACTTTAACAGCTCTTCTGGTATTGTTTGGATGTGATGTTGATGAAAATGAGGTTTGTAAGTTACTATCAATAGCCATGCGGGGTATTACTATCAATAGCCATGCGGGTATTGAATAATGATTGACATTTATGCGAGAAAGAAAATGATAGATTTATATTCCAAGACACATGTATATCATACAGGTAAACAAAACAGGAAAAGTCTGTCAATCGACTCCGGCTTTTCCCAAATTTTGAGAATTTTTGTTTTTATATAAAGCTGATAAACTGATATACTCCTGGTACTCTTGTTTTTGTACTTTTTCTACATTGTCATCTGTAAAAATGTTACTCAGTGGCAAAACAATTATACAATTATTGTATTATTACTGATAATGGTGTTTTTGTGATTATTTTCGTCATTTTGTCACATATTGTTGACAAATTTGCTTTGGGTTCGTCATACATGTATATATGCTTTAACTAAGTAAGTTTTAAGTTTTATCTAAATCATACATTCAATCTACTAGTAACGAGAATGTTTTCCCATTTATAGGGTAGGAGTCATACATGTAGGTTCGCGAATTTACCTACCACTAATATAAAAAAAAAAATGAGGAGATGTGGTATGATTGCCAATAAGACAACTATAATGTAGTATACCCCAGAGTTTAAATGAGGTGAATGTAAGCAATTATAGGCCACCGTACGGCCTTCATCATTGAGAAAAAACCCATATCGTATAGTCAGCTTTTTGCATAAAGCTGTCTATGTTTCAATCTGTATGCCCTTGACCTCATTTTAATCTATCACTTAACTTCTCGAGATTAAGCGATATTTTCAGTAAAAGGTAAAAGGTTGATAATTGTTTTCCAGAATCATTACACAATATACATTTCTGTCTGACAGGAATTTGATTGTCTGTTTTCATATGTTTAGGTTTTGTATTGTATATTTCTTATACAATAAGCTTGAATAAACAATGTCTTTTTGTTATTTGTGTCGTTGGGATGCTATCCCGTTTACGCATATGCCTGGTATCTCCCTGTATGCATATGCAAGGTGGAGTTCGTTATTATTACTTTTCATTACTTAGTTTCGATTTCCTGGGGAATGATTGCGAAAAGAAAATGATTCCCGAATGTCCTGTCATTCATTTGAATCTGAATTGTATACAAATTCATGTGTCTTATGCAAGCGCATGCTCAGATATAACAAACAAAATGCAAAATGGCCAACCAAATCATGCTTAATATTGCATACCAAAAATTTCAAACATCGGACGTACAGACGGACAAGGGTAACACTTATTATTCCACTGTTTAAACATATTGATAGTTTAATCAATATTTGATTGGTTGAGACTATCCCACTTGTCATTGAACAAATCTTCATATTCCATTCTGAGGATCATATTCCCCTCTGAAATGTCGGGATTACTTCGTGCGACGTTACGCGCGGTTAATGTACATAACGTTTTGAACTTCTTATTCTTCTTAAAATAGTGATAGCAAAAATCATTATCATGTTCAAATTTATTTCAGACGATAAAACAAAAAGACTTATAATTAAATTTTGATCCTTACTGTTTATCAATGGGTATCTCGTGTTTAGTTTGACTTACAAAAACAAGCGGATAAGAAAAAAAATGTATGCAAAATAATATTTAATGTATGGATAGTAAACAAAGCATAGGCAGTGGAATAAAACATTCATTTCCCTTTGCCTCGGGAGATATGAAGATTTGCTCACCCTCGAAAAATCATATTTCCCTCGGGCAGAGCCCTCGTGAAATATGAATATTCTTGGGTGAACAAATCTTCATATCTCCCTCCGGCACGGGAAATAAATGTACAGTATCCCCTCCGCTGTGGCGGGGGCATAAAATTATTTAAAAAAAACCAATTTGAATGTACATTATATTACAGGACTTTGAAGATATACAGTTACATTGCAAAGCTTTAGCGGGAAGGCTAAGTACACAAAAAGATTCAAGTTTCAAAGAAGCTGACGCCAGGAAAGCTCAAGAAATCATGGAGAAATACACATATGAAGAAAAACAATGCAGTACTATGGCAGCAGCTAAATTACATCTATGGGTAGGTGATTGATTGATTGTTGCTTCCAGTGGCAAATGTTTCATGTATGTTCGGGACGATATGGGTAGGTGATATTCTCAGACAATTGGATAAATGGTCACAAGCACTTGTCTCAGAAAAAAATCACATCTCTTTACCTGAAAGTTAGGTTAAGGTACACAGATATATTTTTATCTGAGACTAGTTCCTGTGTGGATGATGAATAAATGACAGGGAATCTAACCTCACCGTAATAACTATTATATTGTAGTGATATAATCATTTGTTATCAGTATACTCTTACAGTTTGTTGTTATATATTATATTAATATTTGTATAACAGTTATATATAATTTCAATCCATTTGTATATCATTCTATTCTACTATTCTAATGATAGTGCAGTGCAAGTGCATGGTGGACATTCTTCTGTTATAATTCGTTTTTTCTAATAGATTGGATTTGAGTAGGAATTCATATTTTCCCGCGTTTGTTACAAAACGTTCTTGCGATATTCTTCCGCATGCGTTAACACAAATTTTCGGTATTCTTGATTTGTTATTGATATATATATATATATATATATATATATATATATATATATATATATATTTCTCACGACAAAACATTTTCATATCATTTATCTATGTTCTTAAAAATTATTTTCATGAATTTTTATTGATGAAATTAATATATAACAAGCGATAAGGAATGTTATTTTGCACTCGATAATATCCGCGTAATTATACGAAATTACGTTCGGTTATCAGTCAAAAACGCAAGTCATGTGGGTAGAAATGTCTGTGGTAACATAACACCGGAATGCCCTCACGGTCATCCGCTGTAAAACAACAAAGTTTTAAACAAAACACTTTGGCCTACCACACATTTCAAAATGATGAAAATGACAATCCAGCATGAAACTGTATCGGATGCCCTTTAGGTAGATAGGGTGTCTTCCTCCATCTTGGATTTTGTAATACCTGAAAACAATCGGTCTAGATCTTTAATAGAATGTGCAAATTTTGAGATTAGTAGGTAATTCATGTGTAAGAATTTTCATTTCAATATAGAAAATGACATGTTTTATCATATTTATGGTTGTATTTTACAAAAAACAGAAAACTTTTGTTTGATTCAATCTTTTCCAACTTTGCCACATAAGGGGAGGCAACTCAAATGTAAGGGCAGATAATTCAGATAAAGGTACTTTTACAATAGATTGTGTTAGGAATTTACCTATTTTATTATGTAGCAAGAAAACGGGTCCGGTGACCCCATTTTTTCTTTTTCTTATCTGAAAGCATACTATTAAAGCTATCTTCTTATATTTTATCTCAAAATTCTATGGTGTAGTTTTCGTTTTATGGCAGAAAATTGGGTTTTCCATGCATAATCTATACAAAATCTGTTAATTTTGAACAACCTGTAGCGTGAAAATAAGCCCCGTGACCCATTCTTTTTATCATTTTTTTTTAAAAAGCTTGATATAAACTTCATTTTGGCAAATTATTAAAAAATTCTATGGATTATAATTTAGACACCCCATCTACCTTAAAGGGAAATCACACTATTGTTTATACGCATCGCTCTCGGCGCCACTATAGTGTCGTGACCGTATTATGACGTCGCCGTTTCGAGTCCGTCGTAAAGGTTGCTAATTTCTAAAATGGCGGCCCGCTCAAAGGGACGTTCACTAAATCAAGAGAAAGCAAATGACGTTTTGATTTAAGTGCAAAAAATGAAAATGCTACTCGAAACGGACAAAATGTATGGCAAAAAAATAGCCGAAAGTGGTCTTGATATGGTATTGAATTACCTTACATTTGGGTTTAATTCAAATGAGTTACTCTCTTTAAATAAAGATATTATTATTATTATTATTGAGTTAGTATTTACATACGATACCATTTTTACAATTATTTTTCTTAAAGGTTTATTAATTTCACCGAAAAATATTGTTAGATATGAGAAATATCAACATTTTTTGTTGATCTGGTCTTTATTATTTGTAGCGAAATCCGTCAGCTCAACTTTTTTTTGTAGAAAAACTTTTTTTATTTACTGGAAAGTTTATATTTTCTTATATTAACATATTTATTGATCTCGCAGATTTTTTAGTTTCACGAAGAAAAAAAATATTTAAAAACAAAAGAGATATAACACTTTTTGTCGATCATTTCAGTATAATCAAAGCGTACATCGGCGAATGTGAAATCCGTCCGGTCAACCTTTTTTTTTTAGAAAAACATTTTGTTTTACTATGAAGTTTAAATGTTCATGTAAGATAACTATTAATATCGCAGATTTCTTAGTTGTATGAAAAAATATTGTAAAACAAAAGAGATATTACTAGTAACACTTTTTGTCGATCAGTTCAATATTGTAAAGCGTACATCAGTGAGTGTGAAATCCGTCCGGTCAACTTTTTTTTGTTAAATATTCATAAAATGTAGTCTAATATTTCTAAGGTCTTCAAATATTAAAATAATCTATCAAATAACAAAAAAGTTCTGACTATTTATATCTCATCCGGTCAATACGGGCAATTGTCCTGTCATTAGTGTAACCCAACTGTTGGCAGCATATCGTCGCGATGCGGTATGTGGGAATACACTGGAAAAAATAACAATATACCAAGAGTAACAGCATGTAAGCATACAGCTTCCGGAATTTGTAGTTTTCTGTCCAACAGAGGGATGTAAATAAGAACAATGAGTTTCGATGTTCCTTTGGTGTCAAACGCCTCTCTCTCTCTCTCTCTCTCTCTCTGTTTTTTTTTTTTTTTGGGAAGGGGGGTATGGGGGCACAAACACATGAACACGAGTGATTCGTAGAGTAATCATATTTGTTGAAATATCAAACGTTATATAAGAATAACGCCAGTTAAACATCACTGTAAAAGAAGCATACAAAATTTTACATCGGTTGCTGTCTGTCGAAATCAAAGAAAATTTAGCACCGTATTATATTGTACATTATACTCAATCTTCCTTTAATGCTTTGTACAGGCTTACATAATTTGGGCACAAAAAAAAATCATATTTTGTAGTATTTCTTCAAACTGTCAATTATAGCGAACTGTACGACCAGCAAGTTAAAAAATAAGGCCGCTAGACGTCAGAGCAATCTGGGAATATCAAACACTATGCCTAGTTATTTTTGTACTATTGATGACCGTACTGTCTACAACAACAACAACAAAAAATCCACACTGTATATTTGGCTTTACAAGACTCCAACAAGAGAAATATTTAATACACACACATGTATTTATGTAGAGTAACATGTCTTTCAGAGTGCTAATCTGTAACCATCACATTAAGGTCCGTCTTGTGAAGGAGTATTCATCTCATATAGAAAAAAAATTTGTGCTGATATTCATGTAATATTTGCCACTGAAAGTTTTGCAAAAATCAAGAAAAAAAACGAAAACAAAAACAAAACAAAAACTAGTAGTTCAGATGTTAGTTCGTGTTCAGATCACTCAATGTGATCACTTGCATGTCAACAAACAGCGATATAGGGAGATTGTCAGATTCCGATCATGACTGTATAATAAAGGTCAACCATTTGTTTAAGGTAGCTGATTTACTCTTGATACCTTGGTTCTTTAAAAAAAAATGGCCAACATGATATAGCAGAGTGCTGAAAGTGGCACACACAATCAATCAGTTATTTTCCAATTACCTATCATTAATCAGTTTTGGCAAAAAAAAGTATATAGGCTATACCATACTGAAACATAAATGTGATAAAAGAATATACAATTCAAGAAAGAGAGGTGCACCAACAGAAATTAGAAACTGCAATCTTTCTTTTAATTTCATCGGATCTCAGATCTCAAAATTTTAACTCTTACCAGAATTTATTCTATCTTACAGTATAACTCGGAAGTTTCTAAGTGGAACTCGAGCTTCAACTAGAACTCCTACTCGAATTAACATTCGAACAAAAAATAAAACTCTAAATTTAGCTGGAACTCGAACTCTTATTCTACATCAAAGGTTATCAACACTCTCATTTGTCATCTGATAAAAAAATTCGTAAGGGTTCCACGGAACCCAATGTCTCGCCTACTTTTGCTGTTAATCGCAGGCTCAACAAAAATGAGAAAAAAAATCAATAAAAATATTCCTCTCGATACTATCTTTTGATTGTAAGAAGCTTCTGTCCAAGTTTGGTATAAATCTAGGATAGTTTATGGATCTAATAAATGTTTTAAAAACTTTAACTGCATACTGTATGTAATGTTGACTGGAAGAAAAACTAAGTCCATTTATAAGTAAAATACGGATAAACAGGTACAAAATTTTGACAAAATTTCCTTCGAGATACAAGCTTTTGATCATAAGCAAGCTTCTATCCAAGTTTGGTACATATCCAGGATAGTTTAAGAAAGTTATTGAAATCTTAAAAACTTTAACCACAGAGTGAATGTATTGTTTCCTAGCAGAAAAACTAAGTCAATTTATAAGTAAAATACGGAAAAAATAGATTTTTTTTTTACAAAATTTATTTCTGGATACTATCTTGTGATCATAAACAAGCTTCTGTCCAAGTTTGGTAGAAATCCAGGATAGTTTAAGAAATTTATTAAAACTTCAAAAACTTTAACCACAGAGTGAATATTTGTGGACGCCGCCGCCGCCGACGACGACGCCGACGACGGAATGTAGGATCGCTATGTCTCGCTTTTTCGACTAAAGTCGAAGGCTCGATATAAAACTAGAGTTAGATAAAATATATCGACATGTCCACAGAAACACGGATAGATGTAGCAGAACAAGAAAAAAAACTAGATCCGTTTATTACAAATTAAAAGATTTTTTTAAATACATCAACTGGGAACATTATATGTTCCTGATATCAATATGGCGATGTGTATTTTATTGTCAATTAACTCTAAATTATCAGATGCATTGTATTTCTCATAACATACCAACGTTGAGCGATTAATCGAACGGTAATAGAATATACGTAATACATGTACATAAAGTTTTAATACACAGGCGATGAACATTGAACATATTATGTACAATGAACATGAAACGATGTATGAAAAATGGGTGCGGGATGATAGAACTCAGAAAAAAATTTGGTTTCCACAGTTCGAATAAATTATGAAGCGTTGTGTAATTACGGAACCAATTTTAAATTCCTACCGAAAATAGGTTTCTTTTAAAGTGCTGAGTTTGTGGCATTTTTAACACAGCATTTCAGGTTTTATCTTCCCGGTGCGAATGGACAAGCTAGTGAAATTATGGTAACGAAATTATTCTGCCTGCAGTCTAAAAGGAACGTGTTACTTTTCAGCCCGGATACCCTCAGTCTTCCGAGGTAGAAGATTCTTTATCTGGAAGCCGAAAATTATTTCTATAATACGGCATGAGGCAAACATTCGTTTTCCCCATACAACAAATGCAATTAAAAAAATGAGATGACTTCAACTTTGACAATTACTTTATAATAAACTGTTATTGTATCTATGTTTAACGATTCGATAGATTGATAAAGATATCAATGAATAATCAAAATACCTTAAAAAATGTTCAAAAATGATATTATATTTTGTAGTGAAAAGGTTTAATTCAACCCAAGAGTTGCAAGAAATGCTGTTATGCCAGCAACGTCGTTCTATAACGTTAAAAGGTTATAGTTCCCGCCAAAATTCAATAATAAAGATTATTTCCGTTTTAGCGGATTTAAAACATCGGTGACCCCCCTTTTTTATTTATGCTTTTAAAATCTTCCCTGAAGCTGCAACTTTTGCAGAAGTTTGAAGGGGAAAACATTAGTAGATTTTTTTTATTTCAAGAAAAATCTATTATAAATAGCAATTAAAAATGGCGGGAAATGTTCAAATGTCTTCAAAAATAAGGAAACCGAGACAAATAAATGTTCATAAGGTACAAGTTACATTTGACTGTTTTTGTTATTCCAGTTAAACATAGTTTTTCAATAAGTTTGTCTTTTTTTAACAATTTAGAGCGGTCTTTCTATATTTCGTTATAACGCGATTCTTTAAGTTTTGATGACGTCATATCTCGAAAACAACATCGGTGACCCCAATTTTTTTTTCGCCTAAAATATCTTAAGAAGTATGATCTGTCTACATGCAAAATTTCAATGAATTATTATTAGTAGTATAAATAGTGTGATTTCCCTTTAAGGTTGCACTTCTGTAAATATAGGCAATGCAATTTCCCATAGGAACTCCTTTCATGGCTTAAACTGTGCGACTTCTCACTATGAATTTTCGTAAAAAATTATATCCTAGACTAGAAAGTTCATTTTGCAAGTTACTATTTTTTTAAAGGTCAAAACATAGGGCTGTACGGCATATTTTCACCATTTATATGCCGCGAACTTCTAAGAGTTTAAAATTACACTAAAATTCTGTACTACCCCTCCCTTCACCTTGGGTCTTCCTAGGAATATAATTTGGCCGCTATCCATGTGTATTTACACTGGTAAAATTCCCAAGTTGTATCTGTAGAGATCATATCTGGGAACCAGTAGGTAAACAAGACAAAATATCTATGAATATCATATATCTCCTCAAAAGAGGCGTGGTTTGTGCAACAGCTGTATTTACAAAGTGCAACCTTAACATTAACGTCCAGTGGCAAATATGTCATGTGTGTTCAGGACGATATGGGTACTGAGGTGATATTCTCAGACAATTGGATAAACTTCAATGACACAGATAAAAACAACACAGTATTAAACAAAACACTTTATTGGTGAATACTTCATTTAATTTCAAAATTACAAAACGCTTTTCATCAAAAAGTGCAGAATCACATATTTGTGAAATATATGTATATAATATGGTAAACATTATTTTATTGTAAAGTGCCAGATTTGTTATTATTTTTTTAATCAAAATTCTGTGGACGCATTTTCGAGAAAACATAATTCAAAGTGCCAAAAAAAAAGTAAAATCACAAAAATACTGAACTCCGAGGAAAATTCAAAAAGGAAAGTCCCTAATCAAATGGCAAAATCAAAAGCTCAAACACATCAAACGAATGGATAACAACTGTCATATTCCTGACTTGGTACAGGCATTTTCTTATGTAGAAAATGGTGGATTGAACCTGGTTTTATAGCTAGCTAAACTCTCACTTGTATGACAGTCGCATCAAATTCAAAAATGCATATCTTTTGCCAATATTTCTATATTTGCATGCAGTTCAACGAGTTTTAAATGCATCCAAAATTTCAATAAAATCCGAAATATCTCTGAATTTACGTATACGTTGCATTAAAGTAGCTATGAATGTAAATTTCCTCGAAATGTGAATCTCCACATATTTTTTTAAAAGAAAAAACCCGAAATAAGACGCAAAATAAGTTTCTAGCATTATTTTTCATTTGTAGACGATACTTTGTTTTTTGCTTTACTTTTGACATTTTTGACATTGTTTCAGATACAGGACGTTTCCAAGAAAGTATTGAATGACTTTAAAGATGACAGCTAAGAAACATATATACGATGCTTACATGAACAGTCTGTGGATACATAGAATGTATTCTATAATATCAGTTGACGAATAATTAGCCTATGATATAATATTTTAACATTTGTCCAGTAGAATATACTTGTCGTCATATAAAACTATGTTTGTTGAGCGAAGTTTCTATCAACATGACTTTCTTGCAATCTTCAGTAGTCGGAATAATAAAAAAATGGATTATCAATAATATTGGTTTGTTTGTTTGTTTGTTTGTTTAAAAAAATATGGAATGCTTTGATTGATATATTGCTTTGACACCTAATATGAGGAATGTTTTGTCCAGTGAACATCTAATTTCGAATCTAGAGATTTCATTCTGAAAATAACATAACTATGTATAAATTTATACATGTATAGCTTTCACCTTAACAAAATCTTAAAAAAACACCGATTGAAAAATATTGAAATGAATTTTCGCTGAAATGATCTAGTAAAAGATGATCAAATGGTATTACACAGTTATAAAATGGAAACCCTGCTTTACAAAAATCAAAATAATGATGATGAAATAAACTCAAAATACCTTAAAATATTTTTTTAGTTTTATAATTTTGTAAACTGTAAAATTTGATACAAGCATGATAATCTGGTGATATTTTTTTGTTGTTGAACAAAAAACTTCCTCCATGTTACTTTAAGTCCTTAAAGGGTAAAATCTACAATTCAAACAAGATTGTGGACTATTGGAATGGCGGAAAGAATATATTGTATATTGTTCAATATTGTCTGGTTTCTGTCTCAATCGTATGAATCTGATTTCATGCATTTTTGGTAACCAGAATTGAATGGAAGAATCGTTACTGCCATTAGACGTCAATCCGTAAGAAATACTTCGGAAGTGTTTCAGGATATTGGCTGAGAAGTTTTAAAAATTGTGGTACCCGTATGCGATAAGATATGCAAAAACATTAAAGACGTTGATTGTCATAAACTATACTAGTAGCTTCACTTGATATCTTTTAGACATTTTAAATGAGACATTATCCATACCGTACATGGAAGTTAACACAATAGATAATAATAGTGAATAAGGTTTTCTTTTTATTGTTTTATCTGAATTAAGAAACATAACTATTTGTTATATTATACCAGAATTGGTTCCCCTAGTAATGGACTTCTGGTTATACCTATCCGGGCAAAATTTCCTTTAGAACCCAAACCCTTTCGTGTGTGTATATTCCTATTCAAGCAGTAGATGGCATTCACAAGAATGGGGCTTTTTCTCTGCTCTACGAGCCTTATCTTCTTGTTACCAAGCTCTATTGAATTATGTCGAACCGTGTTTTGTTAAAACTAGACCGCATATAATTATAACTTTCGTATTTGTGTCAAAGGCATCTTATATTCACGGTATGGAAGGATTTATTGAATGATTGTTTGATGGTGTTTAAAGTCACTTTCTGCATTCTTGGCTTCATCGCGACTGTTAGTTTTTATTGGCGGAGGAAGCCTGAGTACCCGGAGAGAGAGCCTGGATTGATATAAAGGGAGATCTATTGTTGTAGGCCGGGGGGAGTTATACAAAAATAAAAATTTAAAACAAAGGTCACCGTGAGAAAATTGAGACTGAAAATTGGGTATTTTTGCACTTTTGTAAAAAAAAAATTACAAATTTATAAAAAAAATTGAATCGATATTCTTCGTCATAAATTAATAAGATTGGGTTTATTTTGAAGTCCAAATAAAAAGAAAATAAATACATACAAGAATGACTAGTAAATTATTCAGGCCATGCTTAAAATTACGGATAAGATGCTCAAAGTGGGATATTCATTTTACCATAAAATCTCGAAAAAAACAATCTGTATCAGAAGTACCCCTCTCTTTTTATTCTGTTCATATTCCAACTGAGAAACATTTCATGTATAGTTATTGCAGACTGTTGAATTTCTTTACGGCTTAATTTAAAGTCTCGCGGCAATTTAGAGTTAGACATGCCGCGGTCGTGTATTGTGTAAGACCATATGTTGACCTCTACATTTTTATGCCCCCGCCAAGGGGGCATTAAGTTTTACCCTTGTCCGTCTGTTTTTTTAGTTTGCCACAACCAAATGTTATGAAACGTATACACAGTGCTTATTACAACAAAAACACAGATCAAGTTTGAATTTTGGTGGAGTCACTTTAACTGTTCTAGAGCTATGCCCCTTTACAAATGGAAAAATTGCTGAATTTTTCGTTTCCGTTCTCTAACTTTAGTTTGCCTCAACCAAATGTTATGAAACTTATACACAGTGCTTATTACTACAAAACACAGATCAAGTTTGAATTTTGTTGGTGTCACTTTAACTGTTCTAGAGTTATGCCCCTTCACAAATGGGAAAATTGCTGAATTTTACGTTTCCGTTCTCTTACTTAAGTTAGCCTCAACCAAATGTTATGAAACTTATACACAGTGCTTATTACTACAAAATACAGATCAAGTTTGAATTTTGTTGGTGTCACTTTAACTGTTCTAGAGTTATGCCCCTTTACAAAGGGAAAAATTGCTGAATTTTTCGTTTCCGTTCTCTAACTTAAGTTTGCCTCAACCAAATTTTATGAAACTTATACACAATACTTATTACCACAAAACTCAGATCAGTACAAATTTGGGTAGAGTCACATTTACCGTTCTTCAGTTATGTCCCTTTATAACTTTATATGATATGCAAGCGGGGGCATCATCTGTGTCCCATGGACGCATTCCCCATTTATTTGTTTTTTTTTTGTTTTGGTTGTTGGGCTGCTGTTTCATTGACATACCCCCAAAACATTCTTTTATTCACATTTTAATCTTATTTAAGAATTTCACATTTATTCATAAAATCGAACTGTTATTAGGGTAAATGATAAAAGTTGAAAAAAACTTTACAATCGTTTCGAAATTTTTTCCTAAGTTTTGATCTAGCAAACATGATTGAATTTATATCTTGAAGACGGGACATGTTACCTTTATTTCCCCATAACTTTGGTTTTGATTTATGTGTCCTTTTTATTTATCTCTCAATTTTCCAACATATACCGAAATTACAATTTTAAAACAAGTCACCAAAAGCATTTATAAAATTATGGTTAGTAAATATTCAGAAAAACAACATAATGTTGTAGAAACCTCAAAGTATAGCTGTGGTAATTTTTGAAAAGATTTATAAAGTTATTACGGAAAATTACACGCATGACGTCCCACCGAATTTGACGTCTTGTGGAAATTCAAACGCACACTACAGGGAGATAACTCTGTAAAAATCAGCTGAACGTTTTAATCAAGTTCTATTGTTAAGGAAATATAAAGCTTCTCAATGATCAAAATTAGTGTTTGTCAAACTGCTATATATACAATGAAATTTCTCCGATAAAGTGTGTGGTTCCAAGTTTTTTGAAATTTTATATTTTTGTACAACGCGCCAAGAGTTAACTCCCTTAAAACTATCGGTTGCCTTAAATATCTTTAATATCTTAAACTACAAACATAAACTCTAGAGAGCTTTTAACCAAATACACGCAAACATATAAAAAAAAACATGTAAACGCAATCATGCAAGCAAATTGAAAATAGAGAAAGCACACATAAAAGTAAGCACAAACATGGCAAAGCGTTATACATGCAAACATAAGCAATAAAATAATAAAAATATCCAATAAATCAGATCACGGGTGATGCCAAAATATTTGACCAGTCTTGTTTTTATTTTTATTTTTTAAGAGGGGGGAGGATAAAATTTGCAAATCAACCAATTATAACACATGTGCCTCTAAATAGAAGATTAATACGAGACAGCCTTGGTTACTATATACATGTACTTGTGTGATTATGCAGTAAGTAGCGGAAGTCTACTCTCAGTGCAATAATTCAAAACTGATGATTTTATACTTACTTGGCAGATCATGTACAAATTGAATTAAATTTAAATTGGGATGTTAAAAACCAGTCCTCTTCGCCAAATAGAATAGTAGTAAGAATTAAAGAAAGTACATGCGAACTAATAGAATATATCTAAATTCGATAAAAACGATTTTAAAGAAAGAAAGAAAAATATATAGACCGGTATACGATAAGATACCTGTGGTTATGAGACTAACATAGAAATAAACTTTCGATCAGTGTTATTGAGGTCTGGAGCTGGCATGTCAGTAACTTCTAGTAGTCTTTTTTAATTTATGTTGATCATTGTCATTTTGCTTAGTTTCCTCTGTTACCTATTCAAAAATCGGACCCGGACTTCTTTTAAACTGAGATTTTATGTGCGTATTGCTGTTTGTTTATTCCACATTGGCTAGATGTATTAGGGGAGGACTGAGATTTCACAAATGTTTAACCCTGTCGCGTTTTTGCACCTGTCCTTAGTCAAGAACCTCTAGCCTTTGTTAGTCTTGTGTGTTGTTTTTTTAAATTTTGATTCATTTGTATGTTTCGGAGTTTAGTGTGGCGTTCATTTTGCTGAACTAGTGTATTTAATTTTTCAGGGCCAGCTGAAGCCCTCCTCTGGGTGCGGAATTTTTTCGCTGCGTTGAAGACCCATTGGTGGCCTTAGGCTGTTTTCTGCTCTTTGGTCGGGTTGTTGTTTCTTTGACACTTTCCCGTTTCCATTCTCTATTATATTAATTGGAAATAAACTTTATAAAATTCCAAATTGTCAACCGTACAGAAATAATTTGAATTTTCAGAAAGATTTTTTAAAAAGCCTACAAATTTTGTATATATGTAAACTAAAAACAGGAAAAGCCCCGGAGTAATTTATTTTTAACTGCTTAATCTAGTTTTGAACCATCACTACGGGATATACTCATATTTAGTGTTATTACATAAATGTATAAGCTGTTTAAGGCAGAAACATGGAAATATTTTAAACATTAGCAATGGGCAGTATGAGGTAAAGCAATCTGCTTTTAAGTTCTGAGAGTGGTATTCTGAATATTTTGATGTTTCACGGGGGTTAAGCAAGGGGATACCTATAGAGTCCTACTCAGTTATACTAAGGCAAAGGTCTATAGTTTATGAGTTAAAAGCTTTCCTCTGGATGTAATAAGTGACAATTGACTTTAAATATTAATAAGACTAACAAATAATTCTTCAATAATATAATAAAAAAATCGAATATTTTTTTGCAAATTATAAAAATGAAAAAAATAACAAATGTTTTAGAATAACCCTTGCTTCTGTGACATCGCGGCAACACCGCCTGCACCGTGTCCATAAGCCGACGAGGAAAGGCATTACATCGACAACCGAAAGCTATATTTTTATGTAGCATAGGTGGTCGAGTGGTCTAGGGCCCTGGACACGGTGCAGGCGGTGTTGCCATGATATCACAGAAGCAAGTTCGAATCCCGCTGAGGGAAATTTGAAGATCTAACATTGTTGTGCTAAATTTGAGATGATATATATATATTATGGTGTTAGCCCTGTATAACCACGTGTTATCCGATGAAGACTGTCTGTCATAAAGTTGACACATGTTTAGACGTGTATGCATAAGGCGTTTGTGTAATGCTAATAATGCTAGGCGGTGTTGTCGTAGAAGTGCAGAAGTGAAAGTACAGGTTCTATACCCCCTGTCGGGGAGGAAGTAAAGAATTAAATCTGCTCTAACATTGTTAGGTTGATTTTCTAGGCACTTTATATATAAATATATATACACTTCTGAAGAAATTGTAAATAAGGCAAGGAAATCTATGTTCGCTGTCAGTTAAGGTAGCATGCATGCACTCACTAGTAAGAATCATAGCCACTTAAAAATCAGAAATCACTCATACCATGGAAGTAAAATGAGAGTCAATATAATACTTCCATGCTCATTCTAATGTACAGTTACAAAATATAGAGCAGAAATAGGCACAAAGATATCAACTTACAATAAAAACTTGATCATAACAGTAAAACAGAGCTAGGGAGAAATCTATTAAAATGCAAATGAAAGTTAAGCTTAATAAATACTAAGAATAACAAATTCCGAAATTAATCCATTAATGATTAAATTAATCTTTTTCACTTTCTAAAAGTTTGCATGGACTACTCAGATTGCTATAAATGGTTTACTTATATAAAAGAATTAAACCAGTCTTGAGGGCTTCAACGCTAACAATAATTAAACGAAGTAGGAAAAAATTGACAATTTTAGTGTTTACAAAATATGTAGACTTGTAATAGTAAATAACGATAGTGAATTGCACGTTTACAAAATTTTTAGCAAACTTAAGAATGGAAACTTACTTAAATTTCAACTTTTTTTAATTAGATGTAATGACAAAAATGAGAATATAGTAGATCAGTTTTTATTGATAGAAAGAAGAAGTCATTTAAAATTCTTCTATAAAACGGACTATATAAAAGCAATGAGAAGTGATTTAATTGCAAATAAGACAACTATCCTCAAGAGACCTAAGGACGAGGGTGTTATCAACTATATAGGTCACAGTACGGCCTTCACCAAGGAGCAAAACCCATGCCGTATAGTATAAGATATTTCTACATTTTTGTAAATGGTCCCGACGTGTCAAAACGAGAAGTAGTTTATAAGAGAATCTATGCTAAAAAGCAAAAAACAAACATATTTTATTGCAGACTGAAATATCGTAGGATGACGTTCTTTAAATTTTTAAAATTCGTAAATATATTGTATATGAATAGATATTTTGTTTGAATTCATACTTTTTCGAAGTTTTTCATAAGTGGAGCAGGATGTGCTTTCCCATCCCGAGCACCTTAGATCACATCCAAATTATTATTTTTTTGGGGGGTTCGTATTGCTCAGTCTTCAGTTTTCTATATGTAGTGTTTTGTGAACTTGTTGGTTTTTTTGTCGTTTTCCGTTATGTTATGGTGTTGTCATTTTCTCTCGGCCTTTGAGTTTTAAATGCCCCTAGGTCTCTTCCGTCTCTTTTGTAGGGATATTGTTTCCCGGTTTTTTGTTTTTGTTTTATTTTGTATATGCCATTGACGATACAGTATATGTTTGTTTGTATAGATTCATACAGTCTGTCTCTTTTTGGGGCGATTTTTTGTTGTTGTTCACGGTTGTTTTTTTTTACCTTGAGATTTATTTTTTGTAATTAATGGACTTATAAGATTTTAAAAATCGGTAAACTGCTGTTGCAGCTAATATATCCTTCTATCCTTAAAATCTGTCACCTTTTAGAAAAAAATTCATTAGTTGTTTGTTGTCATTGGCATTATTTCTTCTAATTTAGCGTACATAAACAGAAGGTCTAATCTCAATTTGCTCAACGATTATTAAAAATGAGGTTTCAGCCAATAAATCTTTAATTTTGTAAATTTTGGTATAATATGGTGTTTTTTTTTTTGAACCTGTTTACCTTAATTCTGACAGCCAAATATATCACGACCGAAACACTGCACATGGGATAGCTTTTCTTTTAAATGTCGGATCATATGTCAATCTAATTATAATTAATGTACTTTATTGACTTATTCTTTTTTCCAACATTCATTCTATATACTTTTGCACCCCCTTATTCTCTATTCTCTATTTATTTTTTTTTTTGCTCATTTTTCTATATTCATTTGTTTTGCCAATATTCTCTATTCTGTAAACCCCACCAAAACCCTCGTGGATACAGGCGTTATTTCCGGATTTTTTTCATTTATATTCCTGCAACGGTTGAGCACTTGAAGAATATTGTGACGTCATGACGTCATGACACCGGAAAAGAAACAGTATGGCAAAACTGATTTTCTTTGTTTTATTTCTGGTTTACGGACTGCCAAACATCTTTGCAAGGCGCTTTTCCCGAGAAGACTTTTATAATGGGTAAGCTAAAATGTAGAAATTTTTTGTAAATATTTGAGATAATGCAATAGTTTGTTGCATTCGATGAAAACTTCTGCTGCGTTAGAGCAGAGTACATAAAAGTACTATGTACTCTCCGTTCATGATTTTGAATGAACGAACTTACAGACTACCACCCGCATTGTAATTTGTAGTCCGGTAACTTGTGGTTACATTAATCAACTTATTTGTTAAAAAGAATAACCGGTCAACATTGTATTTAAGTGTTGAATAAAGTAAATTTCGAAACGACCCAGAAGCCCACGGCCACGGTTCACTGACCTTGGCCTGGGTTTACCGGTTTCGAAAACCAAAATTGGTCCAGTAGCGAACCTGGCTAAATCTTTGTATTCTATAAACATTTACTGGTGTGACCGGAAAAATACAAGCTTGGAAACAATGAAACCAGACTTCCAACTCCTTTTTAAGTAACCCTTTGTCAAATATTGATCTAAAAAAAAGGGGGAATAAGTCACCTCTTAGTGCATTTTAAAAATAGGAATCGGTATAAAAATTTATGAGAAGTATATTATATAAAAACGATTACATATTTGCCCTTATTAAAATCCAAAACATATGAATTATAGTTACTATCACGCACAATATCTCAAAGCCTTAGGTCGTCACATTAGCGATTAGCACTATTTAAAAATATGGAGATGTGGTATGATTGCCTATGAGACAACTATCCACCAAAGTTCCAGTAAAGTGGATGTAAGCAATTATAGGCAACCGTGCGGCCTTCTACAATGAGAAAACCAATACCGTATAGTCGGCTATAAAAGTCCCTGACATGAGAAAGTACGAAACAATTCAATTGAGTAACTAACAGCCTAATTTATAACAAAACAATTTACGAATAAAAGATATGACGGACATGAACCAACGACAACCACTGAACTACAGGCTCATGCCTTTAGACAGGTACATAAACAACGTGGCGGGGTTAAACATGTTTGTGAGCGCGCCACCGTCCCCTAACCTGAAACAGTGGTGTAACAGCACAACATAAGAACAAACTTTATAAAAATCAGCTGAAAAAGTCTTAACTCATACGTCATTTCTGGAATCATGTCTTTCACCGAAAAAGGTCGTCAATTTCGCACGCCTTTATGACGTCATTTACCAGATAGAAGGCGCGCCTGTATCCCTGCTCTTTTAAAAGTTTCCAGCGCTTTCAAAATCGTCATTCTGTAGGGTAGTATAGAAATAAAAGAGGGACGAAAGATACCAGAGGGACTTTCAAACTCATAGATCGAAAACAAACTGACAACGCCATGGCCAAAAATAAAAAGACAAACAGACAAATAATAGTACAGATGACACAACATAGAAAACTAAAGACTAAGCAACACGAACTCCACCAAAAACTGGGGGTGATCTCAGGTGCTTCGGAAGGGTAAGCAGATCCTGCTCCACATGTGGCACCCGTCGTGTTGCTTATGTTATTACAAATCCGGTAAATAGTCTAATTCGGTAGGTCACATTCGTGAAAAGGGAAGGGTATTGTAGTTACGACATAAGGAACATATCCGATATCATCTGTGAAACGGTTATTCCATAACGGTCAACCAACTCGTGATGGCGTCCGTAAAATTTACGAAGGGATGATTTCAACTTCACCATTTGGAACTCTTGGTTTAATAGCTTCCTTGTGAGCAGCAATCCTCTATCACAGACTACACGAAATACGTCGGACCGTCGGACAAATCCGGTGAATAATGGATCGGTCTGGTAAAATTTTGTTGAATTCCGGTCCGAATGTCCGGTGTTATATTTTTCGTGTATTTTTTTAAAGACCCTACATTTTTCCCAATTTTGGGGGCAAAATTCCCAAAAAATTTCAAAATTTATTCTCATCTTTATTATTCATGACAGCGATGTTTATTTTGTTCAACCGCTAGCTTTATGCCGAAAATCGCATACAAGTAATGTGTAAATCCGAGTAAAAACATATCTGACTGAAAAAAACAACAATGGCTGCCATCAACCGGAAATATAAACAATACCGGATCAGATTCCGGGAACGGATAAGGTCAATTTCCGGGTTTGCCGATCAAATACAATTGAAACATAAAAAAAATCCAAGCAGGTTCACAAAATACAGCTATGAAATATAAACACTAGAATTGAAAACCAAAAGATATATGAAAATGAAAGAAGATACAGGAAATATTTTATACAGAAACTCAAAATTTTTAGTTCACAAATAATTTTCATGTCAAAATCCAATAAAATGTGACATTACTTTTCTTTATCACTGAAATGCATTCAAGCAATTGTGCACAACTTTCATCAAAATACATGTATACACTCTTTGTCACATGATTTTGTTTTTGTGCATTTTGGAGAGGAGTAGGGCACAATAAGTCATAAGATTGTTGTATTTTGTCGGATAATATACAATTAGATGTAAAAAAAATTGGTCAGGTAAAATTTCATTCGGTCTGGTAAAGCTAGGTTGTTTACCAGACCGAATGTCCTGTAAAAATAAAATTCATTCGTGTAGTCTGCTATCAAGGAAATCATGATAGGAAATACAAGCCCGGGAATATCGTATCAATTGGGAGATATATACTTCGTATGCAGGCGCTGCTGGAATGTTGCTATATAGAAATGGAAAGTTCACAATTGGGAAGCTGAAACCTTCTCTTTTGTCGTAAAGTTTTGTTTTCAATCGACCTTCATTGCCATTTCTAGATCTGAGAGTACTCGCAGTTACTGACAGCTAGTTCGAAGCCAATAACAACTAATACATACAAACATGTATTTAAGACTAAAATGTCAATCAGTACACATCCAACATCCAATTAATTTAGTGTAAAGACGTCATTAACAGCCAGAGACTGAGAAAAACATGACCTTGTGCAGATGGATTTGCATTAAGAACAACGAGGAATGTTTTACAAAAAGCTTAAGATGACATCTTGAATGCCATTTTATTATTTTCAGAACCTTCCTATTCAAACAAATTGGTTTATAACAATTATTAATTATTATATAACACCACACTGACAGATCTGACAGATCTGACGTCAAGGAATGCTAATTAGGGACGTTTTCTTTATTTCTGCCAATCAGATGAGTCAAGTAATTCCAGAATTTTAGAGTTTGTTCTAATGTTGTACTGTTACACCATTATTCTATATTAGGGGAGGATTGAACGATCACAAACATGTCTAATCCCGCCATATTATTCAAGTGCCTGTCCAGAGTAAGAGCCTGTAGTTCAGTAGTTGTCGTTGGTTTGCTGTATGTCATAATAGTATTTTTTTTTCTTTTGTTGTTCTGTCATAAATAAGACCATTGGTTTTCTAGTTTGAATTGTTCACATTTTGTCATTCCGGGGCCTTTTTAGTTGACTATACGGTATGGGTTCAACTCATTGTTGAAAGCCTATAGTTGCTTGCATCCACGTCATTTGGACTCCGATTGATAGTTGTCCAATTGGCAATTTAAACTTTATATTGGCTGACCTGGTCTAAAAAGCAATATGAAATGTGAGCTTTTGTCATCAATTGGCGTCCTTTATCGTCGTCAATTGTCCATCATCCGTCCGCACTGTCCGTCCGTCGTCGTAAACCTTTTTTTAATTTTCTCCTCTGAAACTACTGGGACAAATGCACTCAAACTTTACCTGAATGTTTCGTAGGGAATCTAGTTTAAAAATTGCCATAAATAGAACATCAGGGTAATATGAAATCTTTTGCTTATATCTTTAAAACCATTTAAGCAAAACTGACATAAGGTTAAAGTGATCAGCAGGTCAATGTTTATCTCATATAACTTTTCAGAAAATTTGGACGACCCTTTAGAGTTGTTGTCCAGAAAATTTTTCTAAAATTCCACAGCTTTACAAGCCTTTTGGCTTATAAATCAAAAAGCAACCTGACAATGAGACAAAATGACCAACAGGTGAAGGTCAATTTTCAGAAAAAAAACATTTTGAAGTTATTGTCCCTTAAATGTCAATTTTTTTGCAAGTTTCGAGGTTTTGGGGGTAAAAATCTTGAAAACTATAACAGATAAATAGAAATTTTAAATAGTAAACACAATCAAAGCAATAAGATCTTTAAATAAGTCAACTTGGGGAGGGTTGATCGCTCACAAACATGTTTAATCCCGCCACATTCTTTATGTGCCTGTCCCATTGGCCAAGTCAGGAGCCTGTAGTTCAGTGGTTTTCGTTGGTTCATGTCTGTCATATCTTTTCTTCGTAAATTGTTTTGTTATAAATTAGGCCGTGAGTTTTCTCTATTGAAAAGTTTCATATTTTTCATGTCGGGGCATTTTATAGCCGACTATACGGTATGGGGTTTTCTCATTGTTGAAGGCCGTACGGTTGCCTATAATTGCTTACATCCACTTCATTTGAACTTGGTTGGATAGTTGTCTCATTGGCAATCACATCTCCATACATGATTTATTGACTTACCACTAGTGGTTCCCCATAAACTGACATTATGATATCTATGACCCTTGCTGTTTCTGGCGGCGGCGGCTTCAACAATGTATTAGTTTGGCATGAGGTCAGATAACACTTTCTTTACCGGATTGAACTGGATTGTGCGTCTCTATGCCAATCTTTTGCATTATAATATTAAAATTGCACGCGACCTCCCCCCGCCCGAATTGATTTCAATGAAAGTGCGTGTTTTTGTTGTCATTTCGTAAACCGACGTGTTGATACTTTTCCTGGAGCTGGCGTGCGAGTATTGATTAAACATCGATAAGTACATATTACAATAACTGTTCACTCGTATATTTTCCGATTATTAATGTAAAATGTACATTTGATTTGCGTAAATCTACGGAAGAATTAGGGGGAAGGGGTCCTTGATTCTAGGTTGGGGGCGCAAACTTAAATTTTCGCCGAGTGGAGCGAGGCGAAAAAATTTTGAAGTAATATTATCGAAATATTTTTTTATTAAGGTGAGGACAACCCATGCTTTGCAAATTTTAGGGGGGAGCACGCCCGCCAC